GCTGACTCTTCTTCTACACTGTTCTTTCGTTATCTCTCTTCTTTGTACTCATGCTTGCCGGCGATAAGCAACCGGACAGATGCCCCTCAGAGTAGAAGGGGCCGCGGAGTAAAAAAAAAAAAAAAAAAAAGGACGGGATAGGGCTAAGCGAGAGGAAGGAGGTGAACCCCCTGCAGAGTCCATGGTGACAAGTGAAATGGGTCGGACTGTTGGGGGTGTCACATTGCAGCTCTGCACTTGTTGTTTTGCTTACCAACACCTGTTTTAATTGACACCGCAATAGTGATTGTCCAGTACTACGAAGCTCTGTTTGTGTGTGCAATCCATTGGCCTCCTGCAGAGTCCTTGGTGACGGTCAAAATGGATCACGGCGTTCCGTTGCAGCTCTGTACTTGTTGTTTTGCTTATAAAGAGTTGTTTTCATTGACAGCGCAATAGTGATCGCTCCATACTACGAAGCTCTGTTTGTGTGTGCAAGTCATTGGATGTAAGTACTACAGGTGCGTAATTGGCTCTGTGTCTGCAAGTTTCTACTGTGCAACGGATGATCGGTCCAGAATCCAGATCAACGTCTGAGAAATCTGTGTTTTTTTCTGAGAAGTCGCTGCCTTTTGATGTATTCTTGCTGAGAGTTCCACGTCCAAAACGTTTTGGCTTACCCGAGATGAATGTGCGCGTTTTCCGCTTTTCTGCTAAGTCCCGGGTCTATTGTGAATGAGACAGTGCTACTAACTCTGTGGTGGTTCCGGGCGTTGGAAAGAACAGAACCGTAAATAGGTATGGACAAAGAGGTAGGACTGAAATTGGGAAAAAAAAAAAGAGGTAGGCCTGATAGCGGGAATGACAGGAGAGCACAGAAAAACATATCTTTAGGGATGATGAATAGCACTAGGGAGGAGAGGAACAGTTGGAACGATGACTGCTGTTCTTTTTTTTTTTTTTTTTTTTGAAACAGGGCCTTATGGTCCTGACTCCTTCCATTCTGGGGAGCGTCAGTCCGGTTCCTATTCCACCGGCAAGTCAAAATATGATACATCACTGCAAAACAACTCACACTTCCTCCCGTCCGGCCGGAGGACCCCTGAACAGCATTGATTACTCCACTWTGGGTGGAGGATTGACTGTCAGCTTGCCTAGAGTCCCTCTTCCCTCTCAGACCTACTTTCGCAACTCTGCCAGTTATGACTATTGTGCCTAGAAAGAGATCCTCCCATGCTGCTGTACGCCCATGCTGACCCTCACACCCATCCCACCCTTCTTTGCTGTGTTCTCCTTGGTCCGACCTGTTCACCCCCGTCCTTGTGGTCTGTTAAACCCTAAACCCTAAACCCTACCCCTCATTTAGATGCCTTAAGTGACCTCCTTTCCTCCCATTAATCCCGCCTACCAGTGATATCCAATATCTTCGTTCTCCGACGAATTTTATCCCTTACCAATATCCTCCCATTGTGAACCGCCGGATCCTACCGATTGAGTTGCTATATACCTCGTGGCCCTTACGATTTAACCCCTTCCCTAATGCTCTACTAAACCCTAAACCCTAAGCCTTGCCTCTTGCTCATGTTAGCCCTTAAAATCTCGACCCTGGGCCTGTGCCTCCCTCCTCCCACCCTCTTAAGCAGCCTGCCTTTAGGGTTGGTCTAGTACTAGTTCCTGCCCCGCGGCGTCCTGCGATGTTTCCTGCTGATTCTCCCTGAACCATTGGAAATGGAGTGTTTTCCCCTCCAGTGTCGCTACTCGGCCCGATGCAAGGACCTTATTCTGAAACTTAGTGATTATTTCCTTGGCTTTTTCCGGGTTCGTTTCCTCCTGTTTCTCCGCTTGTTTCTTAACCCTCTGCCACTGGGCCCTGATATCCGTCTCCAGTAAGTGGTACAGGATTGCCTTAGCTTCTTTTGTGGACATCCCTGTATTACCCACCACCATTTGGCATCTTCTTCTCCACATTGCTGTTCTTTTCTTTTTTGTGTGTGTGATTGTTTTTTGTCTGCATGTGTTG